TATAAGGTTTTTTTCCGGCTGGAAAAGGGTTAAATGTTAAAAAAATATTATGGGAAAGACCTCGGGCACAGTTTTTCCCAACAAGGAACTCCTTGTGGTGAATAACATACGTATAATTTGTATCAATTTTGTTACTCTAAAATGCCTCTTAATACCTTTGCTCCACTTATATATAAATGACAACTTTCTATAACTTAATAGATAACTTTGGTACGGATAAGAACGAGTACTTAACTTCTTATAGTTTGGACTGAAATAACTTACACCTAGGTTTTAATAATTCAATATGTAATGCTTAATTTAAGTATTTTTAAATATTTTTAAATAATTAATTTAATTATAAATTAATGTAGTACGGATAAATACGCTTTTTTTTAACTTCACAAATCTAAACAAAATTTCTATACCCACTTCTAATATATAAATTTATAACCAATTCAATCCATCAAAACTCTGTCAGCTAAGCCTGGTTTAACATGCTGGTTCATCTACGACGAGTTCCAGGTCCCCTGTGTTAATAAGAAAAACAAAAATGATTTTAAAGGAAATCAACCACTCATAAACAACTCCTTTCTTATGAGCACATTATACAAAGCACAAGCCAAAACTGTGTTTTCTGTGTCCGCTGGCACAAAACAGATTACATTTCTGATTATTATGAAAGAAAATTAAAGATAAAGTGAAATCATGATCCATGAAAAAATTTTGCTTGTGCGTGATAAGTCTAAACACTCCATGTGATCTTATATATACCGCAGCTAAAACTGGGGGATATCTGAGAAGTCTAACAATAACCTCTACTTGCAACAAGTAGAGGTTACTGTTTATATAAATTTTTTTGCCATGCAAAATTCTATAAACTTAAAAAACAAATAAATACATAAAAGGCCAAACTTTCAAGATTTTCCACAGCTTTTTTTAATGGCACTATGTAAACTCTCTCTCAGTGAAATGCTCACCTAGGTCATCGTGCTCTGTTGGCACATTTCTATGCATAGGAAACTGGTGACCTTCAAGAACTAGGTTCTGACCATCGTCCACCACTTGCCCCATTTGAGACCTTGTATCTGAAGTGTTGCCATTCATAGGCAATACCGCGTGTCTTCTTCCAGGTACGTTGACTGGGGTAGCAGCGTTGCACACAGCTGTACCTGTGTCATCGTGCTCTGCAGGAACCTTTCTATGCATAGGACACTGGTGACCGTCAAGAACTAGGTTTCGACTTTCCACCACTTGCCCCGTCTGAGACCTTGTATCTGTAATGTTGTCACTGGGAGGCAATAAAGCTCTTCTTCTTCCAGGATCATTGCCTGGGGCCGCAATGTTGCTCACAGCTGAACCAGTACAGAGAGACTGGTCTGTTGAGTGTCGGGCCAAAAACCAGCGGTAAATTCCTGGTGTAGCGAGGGGCAGTCGAGCCATTGGGGGCTGTGATTCTTCCCGTGCTGGTAATAGTAAAAATGAATATCAAAATGTACCCTCCTAAGTGGAGGCAGGTAGTATTTGGAAATCATCAACTTCATATGGCTTAATTTACCCTGCTCTGACTCATCGTATGGCCAAGGTGGGTTACAAGGTAAATTTTAACAAAGACAAACACTGAATCTCACATTCCATATAAACAAGAATTACTTATTCACTCACAAACTATTGATGAACACCCGAGATATTCCGATGCATGCAGACAACTTACTAATTAATAAAAGTGTGTATACAGATTGTTTCTTGACCAAGCTGAGCTTACATGGCATTTGGATGC